TCCCAAGTAATCAGCTATGCATGAGTTTCCTGGAATATCTTGGAAGTCACTGACCTATTTTATGTTGTATTACCGTTAATAATAAAGAGATTGAAAGAAATTTCCCAGCAAACATAAAACTGAATGTTTTAATTTTGGGTGGTGACGCTTTTGAAGTGTCAGTAAGGAGTGATTCCTCGATTAGCAACGAATTCATTTACCGACGGGGTCTTAGGCCCCTAACTACATACATACATACAACACGACATTCAAACATAAAGCCTCCACTCAAACTTCTTCTCACCAACCTTAACAGGACACATGACCATAACACAAGACACAGATCTCTTTTTGATGTACCCAGTGTCCATATCTCACTGTGTAAAAACTCATTGCACATAAAGGGCCCAAAAATTTGGAATTCATTACCAGTAAATACAGGAAAGAGTAAGGTTATGAGGATAACAAAAAGATTAGGTGATGAAAGATTGGATATCAGATTGGAGGGAGAGAGTATGGAGGAGGTGAATGTATTCAGATATCTGGGAGTGGACGTGTCAGCGGATGAGTCTATGAAAGATGAGGTGAATCATAGAACTGATGAGGGGAAAAGGGTGAGTGGTGCACTTAGGAGTCTGTGGAGACAAAGAACTTTGTCCTTGGAGGCAAAGAGAGGAATGTATGAGAGTATAGTTTTACCAACGCTCTTATATGGGTGTGAAGCATGGGTGATGAATGTTGCAGCGAGGAGAAGGCTGGAGGAGTGGAGATGTCATGTCTGAGAGCAATGTGTGGTGTGAATATAATGCAGAGAATTCGTAGTTTGGAAGTTAGGAGGAGGGTGCGGGTTACCAAAACTGTTGTCCAGAGGGCTGAGGAAGGGTTGTTGAGGTGGTTGGACATGTGGAGAGATGGAGCAAAACAGAATAACTTCAAGAGTGTATCGTCTGTAGTGGAAGAAAGGCAGGGTAGGGGGCGGCCTAGGAAAGGTTGGAGGGGGGGGGTTTAAAGGAGGTTTGTGTGCGAGGGGCTTGGACTTCCAGCAGGCAGCGTGAGCGTGTTTGATAGGAGTGAATGGAGACAAATGGTTTTTAATACTTGACGTGCTGTTGGAGTGTGAGCAAAGTAAAAATTTATTTATTTATTTATTTATTTTATTTTTTTATAATTTGAGCACACTTACAGAGGTACAAAAAAAATACAGATAAGAGCAGCATCCCAAAAAGCCACTTTTTACTATGCATAGCATTACGGGCTGGCTTTAAAATTAACTTAAGATTAACTAAGCAATGATGAAATCATTTGAAAAACATTAATGTAAAATGATTACTATAAAGAAACAAGTGGTATTACAAAGACAGGTCATATGGTTGCATGCTTTGTGTAAATTCAGTAGAATGGAGTATTCTGTTAGGTAGTGAATTTAAAAAATAATAAAGTTAGATTGGGTTTTTAGGTTTAACATTTATGTGATATAATTGTGAGAAACATTTAAGATAACAATTTATAAGGTTCAGTTATTCAGTATTTATTTGGTTTTTGGGTGAGTAAGTGATCTTTGAGAAGAGACTTGAATTTTTAAACAGGTAGTGTTTCTTTTATATTTACAGGTAATGAATTCCAGATTTTGGGCCTTTTATGTGCATTGAGTTTTTGCATTTGCGTGAGATGGACACGAGGAATATCAAAGAGTGATCTGTGCCTTGTGTTATGGTCATGTGTTCTGTTGAGGTTGGCAAGGAGATGTTTGAGGGGAGGGTTAATATCAGAGTTGAGTGTCTATGTATGTAATAGGTGCAGTAATAAGTATGGATGTTTTGTATGGTGAGTAGGTTGAGTGTATTGAATATTGGTGGAGTGTGCTGCCTGTAGTGAGAATTTGTTATCATTCTAACTGCAGCCTTTTGTTGGGTAATTAGTGGTTGAGATGGTTACTTGTTGTTGAGCCCCATGCACAAATTCCATAGGTGAGATGGGGTAAATAAGAGAGTGATATAGGGCCAGGAGGGCTGATGTGGAGCATAGTACCGTATTTCGATAGTTGCCTACAGTTTTGGAATTTTCTTAGAAATTGTTGTATATGTTTTGAAAATTTGAGTCTATTATCAAGGTGGATTCTAAGAATTTCCTCTGTTAGCTTTGTGTTAGGTGATCTTTTTACATTAGTTAAGAGGGAATCGTAGCTCTTTACCAACTGAAGAAGTAGGTTTGTCAATGTTTAGAGGTAAGTTGATGTTAGTATCATCCAGGAGCATATTTTTTCTGTAATTCGGTATTTAAGTATTGGCTATGCGTTGACTGGCTCGGGTGGGAGAAGAGTATGTTGTGTCATCCAGCAAAATAGTGTGGGTCTGAGTAATGAGAAGCATGGTAGGTCATTTAGGATAGGAGAAAGAGAGGGGCAAGGACACTTCCTGTGGGCACCAACTGTAATGGAGTGATGCAGAAAGGTTTGCCCATTTGGACACAAATGGCTTTGTTCAGGAAACCGGCAGGCCGGACTTGAGTCCTGGAGATGGGAAGTACAGTGCCTGCACTCTGAAGGAGGGGTGTTAATGTTGCAGTTTAAAAACTGTAGTGTAAAGCACCCTTCTGGCAAGACAGTGATGGAGTGAATGATGGTGAAAGTTTTTCTTTTTCGGGCCACCCTGCCTTGGTGGGAATCGGCCGGTGTGATAAAAAAAAAAAAAAAAAAAAAAATACTAAAGTAACCAGGTCTGAACACCAATTTAAGACTTCTTAAAAACCACTTACTCACCCTAAACTAAATACTCAATATTCAATATTTAATTTTACCAAAAAATCTCCCAATTACCTAAATCTTATAACTTCAACTCTAGATGCCCAAAGTTCATACATTATTAACATTACATTGTAGTATAAATGGCTACCCAAAACAATACTGCCTTACACCCAATTGTAGCATTCTCATACTGTAAACTACTTTCAACAACTCAATGTTATATTCCCATAATATAATTTCAATATTTATTATTGAAACTATTGTAATTTGAGTAAAATTAATGTCTACTATAAACAAAAACAGATGTACAACTTAAACTATGATCAATTTCTTTAGTATTAAGTAGTCTGTAAGCCATTAAATTAAGTCTGCCCATAATGCCTAAGCATGATAATGGCTCTCTTTGCACTGCAACTCATTACTGTAATTTCATAATCTCAATGTAATCTTGCAAAGAAATAGAAATTGTTTATAATAATAATTATAACTATTATTAGTACTTACACAATTATTAATTATTATTATTTATGGAACTGGAGCACAGATCCAATTCCTTAGATCAAGAGCCCCTCACAATGTACTAATAATAATAATAATAATAATAATAATAATACAATACAATAGTAATAATAATATGTAATAACAGTAAGGAGAAATTCAGAAGACTACCAGTAGTTGGTGCCATGATCAGCAAAACATTGGTGACCACTTCTACTTTTCACCTGTCTAGACTTAAGTAGTCCATAAGTATTAGGTTAAGTCTGCCCAAAATGTCTCGGCATAATAGTGGCTTTCATTGCTCCAATCACATTATATGTAAACATGCACTGTAGCCTTTGTAAAGAAATAAATGTTTTATTTATTTATTTATTTAAGGAACCTCCCTTGAGGGGGAAGTTCACATCCGGATACGAACGAAATTTCAGGAAGCAAAAAATCAACCGAGCGACTGTTCGTATCCTGAAAAATCTGCATGGTGGAGCATTCGTAAACCGAGGTTCCACTGTATTTATAAATAATAAAACTAATGAACAGATTGTATTAGTACACATTGGTAGAATTACCGACAATATTTAAGTAAAAAGACACAAATGCAACAAATTTGATATTTTATTGTGGCACCTTTTCACTCTCCAGGAGCTTTGTCAAGCTGTTACAGCTTGACAAAGCTCCTGGAGAGTGAAACATTGCCACAATAAAATGTCACATTGACATTTTATCACCACACTAGTGATCTAGTGCAGTTAGCCTCTCAAAAACTTCGTTTTCTCTTACCCAGGACCAAAGAACATGTTATAGGAAGAAGCTGTAATAATCTTACATGCTCAGATTGGTCTTGGACATTCACCATATGGCCTATTTTATTCATTCCATGGTATATACACCTACCATCTGACTTACGACCTGCTCGACTTACGACCACTCGACTTACGACCGTGTTTTTTATGCCAAATTTCTGAGAAATAAACAACTATTTGTGTTGTACACAGTGTTTATCCTAAACCTTACAGTATAAAATACAGAACTAACAACATAAAAAGTAAAGTAAAACATGAAATACCAAAATAAAACAATAAAATAAAGTCATTACAAAAATGTTTTGTTGATATTCAGTAGTAAAGTTCGACTTACGACCATTTCAACTTACGACCGGTTTCTCAGAACCAAACTCGGTCGTAAGTCGGATGGTAGGTGTATCATGCTTCTATGTTACTTACAGTGTTTATTATGTCATATTAGATCAATTCTGATAGATAAATAAGCTGTAGAGTTGATATTAGTATTATACTGATGTATCTTCTCTGCCCTTGGGGTGTTTTTTGGGGGGCTGGAACGGATTAATGGCATTTCAATTAATTTCAACAAGGAAAATTGATTTGATATATGAGCAAATTGAGCTATGAGCTCGGTCACGGAACGAATTCGACTTGTAAGTCAAGGTAGCACTGTATAGTTGTTTTGGCTTCTTTATGAGCTTTGCGGGATAGAATATCTCTCTGCTAGTTCTTTGGGTATTTATCCCAATCTGTATTGCTTCTCATAGCTATGCTTTTGTCAATGAACCTTAGAATATCTTAATATCTTAGGTAAGCCATGGGGCTAACCTGCTTGGTTTTTAATGGGCAATATCTGCTGTATAGACTTTGTAATGTTTGGAGGTATGCAGGAACACAAGTTACTGTCTTGGTCATTGTAAAATTGTCATAATTGCGATGATAGTTATCCAATGAAGCCAAAAATAAAAAGTGAATAGATATATGAAGAATGGCTGCCTTACCTGTAATGCTTCCTTCCTCTCATTAATAAAATCTCTGTCAGTATTTCCAAACACTTTCTTAGGGGGAAGTTGTGGCAACACAACAGTTCCCATTTTGAGGTATGCATGAAGCTGTGCAAAGTCAGAGTATCGATGATTCACTGTCCATTTAGTTTCTATGTCAGGGGTACGCCACACTTCAACACAGTATTCCTGGTAAATAGGGAAAATTTATCAACTTAAATATAGCAACAATATTATGGTAACTTGGCAAATTAATAAATGATTTATGCAAACTATATATAGGTACGTACTCCCCACTTAACGACTGAGTTCTGTTCCTAAGAGTAGGTCAGTAAGCGAATTAGTCATTAAACAAGGAGCATACTGTACTGGTAGTGAGTTTGTGTTAAATATCTTTAGATATTGTTTTAATGTCACCTTTGCACCATTTATAACATTTCTGGTATATTTTTAAATGTTTATACAGTAGTTCACTATAGGGACCCCACCATAACTTACCTCGAATGCGACAATATGAATGTATTATGTAGTGCGTTTGTACGTATGTTGGGGGTCTGAAATGGACTATCTAGTTTCACAATATTTCTTTGGGAACAAATTCGGTCAGTATGCACCTGAACATATTCGGAATGAAAAAATATCGTTAAACGGGGGTCCTGTACTGTAATAAATAGAATAAGACTCAGCTCTATACACAAAGGTTCATTTCTGGTGAGACTGGTCATAGTTGACAAGTCGGTAAACAGGTAGTCTAACGTGAGGAGTACTTGCAATACTATACAGCCTTCCGCGCTTAGCGCTACCATTTATCGATGCCTTGGACTTACGACGGCTCTTCTGACAGCATTCATACCTAAATATGCATATTAGAGCTGATTTTCTCTATCTCTTATTTCAATAACAGTACATACTCATAACATTAAATATACCAGAAATGTTATAAATGGGCAAAGGTGACATTAAAACACATCAAAGATGGCTGACACAAACACAAACTCGTTTAAAGACGAGGTCTAAGGAACAGAACTCCGTCGTTAAGTGAGAAGAGGCTGTATTAACCCTTTCACTGTCAAGACCCCTGATCCTGAACTCATTCTCATTGTCGAAGAATTAAAAAAAAAAATTGTTTTCTCATGAAATGATAGAGAACTTTTTCCCGATGGTAATGACACCAAAAGTACGAAATATGATGGAAAACTTGCAGAATTATGCTCTCGCAAAGTTACCAGTCTCGGCGATATATACGATTAGGCAATTTTGCCCAATTTGTGCCCTATTTTCAGCCAATTCCATTGTTCCAGTCGACCACACTCATAGCTATTTCTTTAGAACTCCATTTTTTTTATCGATCGAGTACAAGAAACTGCCCATTTACCAATTTCAACTACCCAATAAAGTGGTCAGAAATTAGCAATTTGGCCAATTTCATGCAACTTTCAAAGAATGCCAATTTCAAAATAGGGTCCACAATAAACAATGCAGACATTCATGGCACTAAAATAACATTTTCTCTGTTCATTAGTCACATCTACAGGCCCCTCTTATATTACTCTTGCTTTCCATTTAGAATTTTTATTCACACAAAAAATAGAAGATTTACTGTTATGCAGACTACTGCATTTATTATATAATTTTATAAATGTCAACCCATTTGTGACTGCATATTAGACTGGCAAGTTTGGCATGTACTGGAAGGTGATGACATTTGTTTACTCTTGAACATCTGCAAAAATCGAACATTTCCTATACTCTGAGCTCAATTTCAAGGTACTTTTCATTGTGAAACCAACCAAAATCATCTATTTCTGTAATATACCTTCCATTCTATCAAATGAGACTGAGAAAACGAGAATACAACCATAAATACTATACGAAAATACGCCTCAAAGTCAATGTTTTAGTTCAAAAACACAGCCGGAGTTTTTTTTTCTCATTAGGCACTGTGTGCTGCAGGATTTTCTTTATACTGTGCACACTGACCACACAGACCCATTCTCTCACATGTAGGTCTACCAGCTTTCTCCTGTTAGATTTGAAGCCACTAGAATTTTGGGGTATTAATACATCAACACTGGCTTGTAAGCCGTACCTATATGTCACCAACAGTGAAAGGGTTAAATGCTGTGGCCATTGACATTTTTCATATTTTCACCCAATAATTACTTTATTTTATAAATATGCTCCAAAACTGTGATCTGCAGTGCATTATGAAACACAAGAATCTAGACCTTTAGTCAAGAGTCAACTTTTCACAACATAAGACAAGCCTTTATCATTGACAATGTTATGTTTAGGCTGACTTCTGTGAAGTTTATTGAAGGGAATTGAAAAGGAGACAGATCTAGGAAAAGCAGTAGTCAGTCTGGATAGTGATAACTAAAGGTAAGAATCATGCCTAGTTTTGTCACATTTAAGTGGTTGAGTTTCCAAATCCAGTACCCCATTCTTGTGGGAGGTAAGTACTTTTTTAGTACCCCTTGGTTCTTTTTTAAACTGTTTTTTAACTTTTTTTTGTACTTTTTTTTATTTCCCTATTATTCCATAAATTTGTGGGTTATTTGTCAAAAAACAAATTTGGATTACACATACGTTATAAAATAATGGGGGATAATCCCTGGGTGAAAGCAGCCCGAGAAGAAAAACCCCTTCATATACCTTAGCGGGAAAAAAAAACTCTAAAAATTTTAAAAAAAGGGGTTGTTAGTGTACCAATATTTTGGGAATAATGTACAAAAAAAAAGGGGGGCATCAGCCTTTTGGGGGAAAAAAAAAGGGAAAAACTGTAACAAAAAAAATTGAAACATTATAATTTCCATGTCTAGGGTCAGCTTTTGTACAAAATGACCCGAAAACCCATGGGTTTGAATGTTTGGGGTCCATTTTACAACAGATTTTTTTCAATAAGTTTCTGGAAATTTTTGTGGGGATTTCGGATTTGAAAAAATTGGAAAAAAAAGATGGGTTTAAGGGGAAAACCCCAGATTTGGGCCCTTGAAATCCTTTCCCGGGGTCAGCCAAAATCCGAAAAGGGGGGGGAAACGGGAAGTAATATTTCCCAAAAGGGTTTAAATTTGAAAAATAGTACAATTAATCGCCCCCAGACCCCCAAAAATATTAAAAAAAAAATACTTTTTTTAAGATTAACAATTTTTACAGGACGGGAAAAAAAAAAAATTGAGAAATAAATATAACCCAAAAATTTTAAAAACTAAACCCATTACTTACTTTATTGGGGGGCTCTTTTTGGAATTTGAATTAAGGGGGTTTTTTTTTTGGGGGGGGGTTAATTTTAAAAAAAATAAAATAAAAGAAAGGGAAAGAAAAAAAAGGGAAAAAAAAAAAAGAAAAAAAAAAAAAGAAAAAAAAGAAAGAAAAAATTAAAAAAAAGAAAGAAAAAAAGAGGGAAAGAGAAAGAGAAAAAGAAAAAGAAAAAAAAGAGAAAAAAGAAAGAAAAGACAGAAAGAGGGAAAGAAAAAGGGAAAGAGGAAAAAGAGAAAAAAGGGGAAAAAAAGAAAAGAGAGAAAAGAGAAGAGGGGGGAGAGAGGGGGAGAGAGAGAGAGGGAGAGGGGGGGAAGAGGGAGGGGGGAAAAATAGAGGGAGGGGGAGAGTGGGGAGGGGTGAAGAAAGAAAGATGGATTGAGAGGAAAAAAAAAGGGGGGGAAAAAAGAGGGGTTGAGAGGAGAGAAAAAGGTAGAGAAAAGGAGGAGGAAAGAAAAGGAGAGAAAAAAGGAGAGAGAAAAAAAAGGAAGAGAAAAGAGAAAGAGAAATTAGAGGAAAGAGAGAGAGAAAGGGGAAAAGAAAAAGAAAAAGAAAAAAGAAAAAGGGAATTAAGAAAGAAAAAAGGAGAAAGAGAAGAAAAGAAAAAAGGGGAGAAAGAAAGAAAGAAAAGGGGAGAGGGGAAAAGAAAAGAAAGAAAAAAGGAGGGGGGGGGAAAAAAGAAAGGGAGAAAAAAAAAGAGAGAGAAAAAGGAGAGGGGAGAGAAAAAGAGAAAGAAAGAAAAGAGGAAAGAGAAAAAAGGGGGAAAAAGAGGGGAAGGAGAGGAGAGAGAGAAAAAAAAGAGGAAAGGGAAGAGGGAAAGAAAGGGGAAAGAGAAAGAGGGAAAAAAAAAGAGGGGAAAAGGGGGGAAAAGAAAAAAAGGAAAGGGGGAGAATGAAAGGGGGAAAGGGGGAAAAAAGGAAAAGGAAGAAAAAAAGAGGGAAAAGGGAAAGAAAAGGGAAAGGAAAGAAAGGAGAGAGGGAAAAAAAGGAAAGAGGGGGGAAAGAGAGGGGGAAAAAAGAGGGGAGAGAGAGAAAGAAAAAAGAAAAGAGGGGAAAAAAGGGGAAAAAAAAAAAAGAAAAGAGAAGGGGGGGGGGGAAAAGAAAAAAGAGAAAAAAGGGAAAGAGGAAAAAGGAGGAAAGAGAGAAAAAAAGGGGAGAAAGGAGAAAAAAGGAAAGAGAAAAAAAAGAAAAAGGAAAGAGGGGAAAGGAAAGGGGAAAAAAGGGAAAAAAGGAAAGAAAAGAGGAAAGGAAAAAGAAAGAGAAAAAAGGGGAAGAAAGAAAAAAAAGAGAAAAAGAAAGAAAGAGAAAGGGGAAAAAAAGAGGAAAGAAGGGAAATTCAGAAAAAGACATCCAAAGGGGGCAAGGTTTTCCAAAAGGGAAGGGTTTGCTGGGACCACTGTTATGGAATTTTCCTTTCAAAAACCTTCATCTCACCCCAAGAATCACAGCATATGCAGACGATGCACACTGACTTTTCCATAATAAAATGGAAAAAATGCCAGCTGCCTAAGCTACACCCAATCACCAGTGAGGGGCTATTTCGTTTGGGGGGAAATAATGGCAATTTACATTTGCACCTAAAGAAAAGGGGCAAATGATCGTCTCTAGGAACCCATGATGGAAATGCTGGTGCAGTTTTTAAGGATGAAGGGGGAAAGGGTTGTTGGAAACCTGGAAAAGAAGTTGAACCCTTTGGGGGTTTAAAAATTTAAATCCAAACAAACCCCATGAAAAAACCAGGTTGTAAATTTGCAAAAAAAGGCAGCCGGGAAAGGGTTTTACAGCCTTCGCCTATTCCATTTTATTTGACAGTGGGGGTTTTCCCAAAGATTCTTTTCGAGGCAAAAAGTACGCTCCCCAAACCTTGAGTATGCTCCCCCTTTTTTGGGTTTCCCTCCCCCCCCCCCCTTCTTCTGCGTTTTGTTGCAGAGT